CTTTAAACTTGTTCTAACTTTATTCTTATCGGTCTGTACTGAATCATCATAATATTCAGAAGATGGGGATATGTTCTTTCGCGGTTATGAACTATGCTAACTACCGTTAGTGCAACAGAAATCAGCCTTGTAGTTTGAAACACACCACTTTTCATGTGCAAAACAGTCAGTCACTAAATATATAAAACAAATATAAACCAGTGCATGAGCACTGAGGTCTTTCAGCATAAAACAGGACAACAGCTCATTACCACAGATTTTCGTTTCTTTGGCACGGCCTCGTTAACATAGCTTTGTTTCTATGAGGTCTGGGTAATGGACACCTGATCCTACACCCCTTTGTTTAAATTTTTTCCGCAGAGTTGGTTACTGACATGAAGGTGGATATTCGGTGAAATTTATGAAGTTCTACCGCAGTAGTTAATGTAGTTGAAAGGATCTTCTTGTTTCAGACTGAGGAGCTGTCGAAGCCATTATGAGTGCTCCACTCTCCGCCCTTGGTTACTAAAATGATGCTCTCCTTTCAGAATACACTTGGCAGTAAACATATTATGTTAATGAACTTTCGTCATTCTCTGTTCAATTGGAAAACCCATAATAAAAATGTTTTATAGGGCTTTCTTCGTGGAGAAATACAGACAGCGTCTGTCAAACCTGATGTAGGGAATAGTACTTAGCTTATACTTCTCCTGAGATACTCTCTTAGTCTCGGCTACCGAAGCATCTATAATTTATGGGATCAGCTTCCATGCAATTGTTTTTGCTGTTTCATTATCATAATCTTTAGCCGCTGGGCAAAACTGCAGTCTGCATCAGCAGCCATTACGGGCCTTCATGACTATCGTAGCTGTTCAAGGAAGATGCAACTGTTTGGTTATGGCGAGCATTTATTTCATAGTCGCTAAGAACAAAAAACCCATCATAGCTCCATGACTAAAAACATTAAGAGAAGCGAATCAATTCCTCAGCAAGTCGGACAACGCTAACCTGGCCAAACTGCCGGATTAGAATCAGTAAAGAGATGGAAGTAGTTGTCGCCAGAATTTTGAAGTCGATCATGATGAATGATCATATAAATCTGATATTTTAACTGACACTGGTGTAGCCTGTGAATGTTGGCACACTGTAGTAAAGTATTTACCTCGAAAATGGACACCTAGCTCTTCTGGCTCCATGCGTACCAACTACTGTGAACAACAAAAGAATTTTCGAACTCAGTCAACCGACCGTTTTCTCTGAAACATGAATACGAGACACGTCTGTACTGGCCTATTGTTAGATTAATCACACTGTTGGCGCTGTGAACATATAAGCCGTGTTTTATGCTGTTTTCATGAGGTACTGTCTCGTAAACGCAAGTGCAAGCTGTAACAAATTTCAGTAATAATTCATCGTAGGAGTAGTGATTTTGGATCCATTCCTTTAAGCGTTTTGAAGCAAAGTTTTCTAAGCTGATTATATTGTACTAACTTAAAAAGTTGCGAACTCAGATTGGTACAACATTCTCAATCCCGAAATGAATCATTCGATCAATTTCGGATGCCAACTGTCCTTTCCTTTCGTTGGATTGGCAGCGTTAGCCAATATAACCACTTTGCGATCTTGCCTTAACGCCGGAATATCAACAGTAATAACTGCTAATCTGAAGCCGTAGTTCCTTGGCACAAGTTTTGGGCCCTCTTTAGTCCCAATAACCGACTGCTTCTTTTAGACGTCGCTTTCTTGTTGTACTGACACGACGGCAGTATCGTCTGTACTTTTAGAACACTGATCAAATTCGCCAGTTATTTTTGTGATACTGATTCAAATGGGAGGATCATACGTCGGACAGTAGCCCGATACTTGAATCTGTCGACCACTCTAGTCCTGAGAGACATCAGCCCAGCGGTTAGAAAACGCTTTCCAACAGTGGATATGCTCGTCGATAGTGGTAAGGGCGATACATAATAAGTCGCCTATCTCGTTACCTCATCCGATTGTATGCTAAGGCTTCATGACCAGTGAAGAAAAAACAATTTACGAGAAAGTGACCTGCTTGCACCATAAATACTGGCTTCCGATTCAATGGTGCTGTACCCTGCTGTGCAAAGGCAGAAATGAAAAAATGATTACTAGTGACATCCTGCTTAATGACGTCCTTGAGGTACAAATTTAATTCCATTGACTGTTTAATCGAGATAGTACTATTTAGGAAATAATGAAATATCGCCACCACCTCATGATGCTGCTCAACTATGATTGGATAAGTGTGCCGCTAGTATACACTCAAGTAAATCCATCGATTATATTTAATTTTCTTTGCTTTTGAGGCGTAAATCATCTCTCACAATGACTACCCGTATTTTTTCGGAAAATCTTGTCGTTATTTGTTAAAGCGATTTAAAAATATAACTTTACGATCAATTTTTACTGTATCGCAAGCACGTTCTGCGTGCAGCTGGTGGTGAGGTGTTTTGCATGGAATCTGTCGATGAAATTCGTTTTTGGTGATTCCCGTTCAGCAGTGGACAATTTGCATTAGAGAATGTAGGTTTAAATGTACCTTTAAATTCTGCTTTTCACTTGGTTAGGTAGATAAAGATGTTATCATATTAGCTTGATTGGACTGGACTCCTGTTTTCCACTTAAAACGATTTGGCGCAAGAAAAATTTTATCTTACTGTTTCATTCGCTTATCTTCGTTGTTTGCCATACTTAATTTACTATTTCCCATAACCCTGAATTTAGCTAGTGCTAAACGAACAAAACGAAATTAACTCTTGTGAGTCACTCTCAAATAGCAAGTATTGTTATCGTTATTTATTGTTGATTATTTAATAATAATATTGCTAGCAATTTAGCACTGTTGTCGTTGGAATTTAGTAGGTTTTGAGAACAAATGATGGCTTTTGGCGTTTTTTCCCACGTAAGGTATTTTTCATATCAGTTGTTTGAATATATGCAGATCCGATCGAGGTATATCCGTTCTAGTGCAGATATGTGTTTGTTCGGTGTAGTTTTGTCCTCACGCACTACATGTGCTACAATAACATGTTACCGGCTATCATACTTTAGCGGTTTCCAATTATACTAGAGGCAATGAAACGGTGCCCCGAGATCCGGAGAAGTGACAGGAGATTGTTATTCTTTCGATATTGTAAACTAGCAGTTTCAGAGACATAATGCTGGGATTGATTGTTACTGATTATAAGGGTTTGAATCTTTTTCTTAGGCATATGCTTGATTTCTGGGTGACCGACCATGTGATTACTGATGTTTACCATGTAGTTTCACGTATTTTTTCAAAGCCCATGCAAAATGTGCTTGATACGTTAACTTTAGATGCTTATGTTTTAATATGTCTGGTTTTACTATCGTGTATATGCATCTGTTTGTGTTGTGTTTTTTATTGTGTTTTACTGCGTCAATCTGAGATCGACACGCAAGATTATGGTCGGACTAGCGACTGCAATTGCATCCTAGTGCGTTGGATATCGCTAATAAAAAATATCGTATCATTGTTTCTGCTCTCTTGAGAAGTTCATGGTCCATGTCTGTGGGTTGTATGAGGAGCTTACTCTGCGATTCTATCGAAGTC